GCTGCTGGCCTCCTGCTACTTGCCGCCCGGCTTCCTGTCGGCGCCGGGGCAGCGCGTGGGCATGCTGGCCGAGGCGGCGCGCACGCTCGAGAAGCTCGGCGACCGCCGCCTGCTGCACGACTGCCAGCAGATGCTCATGCGCCTGGGCGGCGGGACCACCGTCACCTCCAGCTAGGTCCCCGTCGGCGGCCCCCGCGGGGCCTGTGTGCAGGGCCGGAGCCTCGACGGCCGAAGGCAGCGCTAGGGCCCCGAAGTGTCCACGGTCCGCCCACGTACTGCTCTGTCTCCTGGGGGGATGGGAGGCACGCAGGGGCTTTTGCTGCCTCGACCTGGGAGGCCGGAGGGGGCGCGACCCTAGCCGCCCCGCCCCCCACTGCGCCCCAACCCGACGAGCGGCGGCCAGCATGTGCTGACCTCTGGTGGCCGGTCGGGGGATTGCAGGGGCCGGGCCGGCCGACGGGACCTTGCTCTGCAGGTACCCAGTGGCTTTGCCCTCTCCCGTCTCACAGAGGGGTACATTTCACTGAGCTGAGGGGGGCCTACTTGGTTTTCCCAGCCAGCAAGGGGGTCCTACTCCGAGGCGCCTCTCTCCCTTCTGGAGAGACTTGTACATACTGTAGATGAGGGCGCACCAGCCTCCTGGCCTCTGAGGCTCAAGTGTTACTTTGCCTTTTGCAAACTTTATTTTCATAGGTTGAGAAGTTTTGTACAGAGAATAAAAGATGAAATTATTTATAATCTGGGTGTTGTTCCTTTGGGGAGGAGGGTGTGTACTTTAGCTGATAGACCAGCCAACTGGAGGGGGTCCTTTGAGCCTCCCCCTCTCCTCCCACCCCAGCACCCAAAGGTTTCCCGCTCCCATCGGTCCTAAGAGACCAAAATGTCCCCTTCGATGTGGGAGGCCTGTCGCTGTGGGAGGCCTGTTGCTGTGACCTCCAGGTGACCTGGATTCCACCAATTTCCGTGCCACACGGTTGGGCTGTTATCAACCCTTAATCCTTAAGGGCTGTTGTGGTCTCAGCTGTCCCTTCCCACCTCTCTGCTTCTACCCCTATCAGTTCGCAGGGTGACATGAGAGGGTGACTCCGTGTCCTTAAGGATCTGTTGTGATAGGAGCTACAGCCTGGTATCGCTGTTTGGGCCGTTCGTCTCCCCTCCCCCACCCCTTCGCGGGTTCTCCCTCTCCCAAGCTTGGGGAAGTCTCCAGCCCCCATCATAACCTGAGACCCTGAGGCCGCATGGGGTGTGGGGTGGCTGGGGGGTTGTCTACGCAGCAGGGGCTTGTCTCCTGTTCCTGCCCTTACGGTACCGACTAGAACCCTTGACTGTCCCTTGGTGTCCCGCCGAGCCTTCCTCTCCATTCCCCCCGCCCCCCCAGGCCTGGCCCCCTCTCCCAGCGGAATCTGGTTAGAATCCACGGGCTGCAAACTTCCAAAACAATCGTTGTATCTTTATTGACTTTTTTTTTTTCTGAATGCAATGACTGTTTTTTACTCTTAAGGAAAATAAACATCTTTTAGAAACAGCTCGATACACACAATCTTCAGTGTGAAGCAATATACTAATAAGAACACTAGTCGTCTTAACATTTACAGTCTTCATATATATTATATATATGTATATGTATACATATATATACACTATATAACGAGGCCAGATATAATACACACGTTTACCATTTTACAGTCATATGTACAGGAAGTTGCTAGGGCGGCCCCAGTCTGGGGGCTGCGTCAGGCCTATCGAAGCGTGGACAGAGCTGAGGACACAGACGGACAGGCGGACGGACTGGCGGGGACTGGCTTGGGCCGGTGGTGGCTGCGCGGGGAGGGCGGGCATCGCCGTAGCCCCCTTCCCGGAAAGGGCCCCGTGCTGAGGGACGCACGACGCACGGCGGCGGCGACACACGGGAGAAGCGAGCATGTTCCCAACATATATACATTCTATGTAACATATATATAGAGGGGTACACAGGTTTGTACACGAATCTAGCGCTGTCTCTGCTCCCGTGCCGGGTGGGCGCTGCTGTCCCTGGAGACTGGGTGGTCGTGCAGAGGGACGGTCACGCATCCACCGGAGGTGCGCTCTGGTCGCCACTCCCTTCCTTTGCCTTCCCAGGTGGCGCTCCAGGGGTGGGGCGGAGGACTGGAAAGGGGACGACGGAGGCCAAAGGGCGGGGGCCAGTCCCGCCCACACCCGGGGAGCCCGCATCCCCTGAGCATGGGTCCCGGACTCCCCCGGCTCTGCCCAAACCGCTCGAAAGTGTCGGCCGAGGCTGGGTGGGTGGGAAGGGCACTAGGACACGATTCGAAAGGTTCCTTCCAAAGCCTCCGGCCTCCTACCCCGCCGGCCTAGTCCTCTCCAGCAAGGCTTCGGCTCCCTCTCCCCCCCCCAGCCCCCCGCCTCGGAGCCTGGAGCCGCCCTGGCCACTTCCAGGGCCCTTTGGACCCCCACCCCCACCCCCAGGGCCCCCAGCTGCAAGCCACGCCGGCTGCGGTGGCGGCAGCACCCACGTCGAATGTGTGCCACGTCCTCTTGGAACTACCAGGGGGAGAAGCGTGTCCCCAGGCTAAAGGCGTCTCCAATCCCCGCCGGAGCCTGGGTGCCCCAGGGAGTCTGGCCGCTCCGCGGGCTCCCCCTCTCCAAGCCTGGCCCTGGGGGGTGTAGGCGGGAACGTCCTGTGTCCTCCTGTTCCGGGAGCAGGCGGCTCCGGAACGTGTTTTCTTCCCAACCCGGGATCGCAAGTTTCAGCCCTAGGCGGCCAGATCCAAGATCCGGAGTCCGGATCAAGGATCGGCTCTGGACCCGCGCGGGGAGCAGCTCAAAGGCCCGGGGGCTGCGCAGGCGGCTCCTCTCCTTCGGCGGCGGGCGGGCAGGCGGGCTTCGGCGGCTTCTCCGGCCGCTGGGGTGGATTACAACGGCAGCCTCTGCAGGAGAAGAGACGCCCGAGCGCCCGTCATTGCCGGTGGTGGGCACGTGCTGGGGGCTGATAAATCCCGGCCCCGCCCCTCCCGGCGTGGCCCCGCCCCTCCCGGCATGGCTCCGCCCCTCCCAGCGTGGCCCCGCCTCCCCGAGAGGCTCCGCCCCTGGAGGCACCAGGCCTTACCTTCGGCCTTAACTTTTCTCTACCCCCACTCTGCCACCGTCACCTCCCTCCGCGCCCATCGTCCTGTGCCCCTGCCTGCCCTTCCTGTCGCCCACCTGGGATGGCTCCCTCCTTCAGGACCTGTCTCGTTATAAGGCGGTCTTTCTGACCAGCGTGTGCCAACCTGCCCCAAAGGCTTCGGATACACCGCGAATAGTAAGGTTTTGGAGGCGGACAGGTGGGGCTGGGCCCCGCTGAGGGTCCGCAGGGCAGGGGGTGGGGCGAGGGGAGGGGCTCCCCTCCAGGGAAGGCTTGTGGTTACCTACCTTATGTTTGGGACACTTCAAAGAAAAGTTCTCTTCGATGAATATGCAACCTGCCACCAAAAAGAAGTGTGGGTGGTTAGGATGGCTGCTGGTGTCTCGTCAGGGGGCCAGGCGGGGAGGGGGACCTAGCGCCCCGGAGACCCTAGGCTACAGGGCTTCTTTGCACAAAGTAGAGCAGACCCTGCTTGAGATTCTCCAGGGTCTAAACCCCATCCCGGCTGAACTGGCCTCCATCTGCCTCCAGCCCTCCTGGCCCGTGTGTTCCTGTTCTTCCCCCCACCTGGAAGGCCTTCTTGTCACTCGGGAGGACGTCCCTGACTCCCTAGCTGCAGCAGACCCCCTATGCCCGTCTCTCCCCTGCCCCTGCCTCATTTCACTTGGCCACACTCGTCACTTCCTCCTAGTGGTCTAAATACCGTGGACTTGCTCATGGTCTCTGCCCCACTGGAAGGCCAGCTCCGTGTGCCCGCTTTGCCCTCTTCCCTGGATGCATGCCCAGCCCCTAGAAGGCCTTGAGACCGAGCGGGCTGATGGACTGGGCGGTGCGGTCCCAGGTCTGGATTCAAGAATCAGCTGCTTCTTTGAGCCTCGGTGTCCACATCTGTGAAATGGGCCTTATGCCACCTACTGTGTCTGTCTCTATCATGGGGACTGATGAGGGCAATGAATATAAGCCACCTGCACGTGCGTGGCTCAGAGCAGGCACTTAGGATATGGGCTTGTCCTTGTGGGGGGCCTCGAAGGCGACGCAGACCTGAGTCTGGGGGCAGAGGGAAGACTGAGGTCTTGGATCTGGGTGAATCCCAGCAGGTATTTGGGTGCCCACAGCACTGGCCACCCTTGGGGGACAGAGGATGGCTGAGCATGGCTGGTTCCTGCTGCCCGCCTCAGCCCAGGGGTTCACTGGCATCTCAGCAAGTCCTCACTCCGCGGCCCGCTGTCACCTACGGATGCCCTGGCTTCTCCCCCAGGAGTCCCCGTCCACAACACCCAGTCCCCTTCTGGGCTCACCCCCCTCCCTCCCATGCCCCACGGCCATGGTTCTGAACAAACCCCAAACCCATAAATAGCCGGAGGCCTGAGCTGACCAAGCAAGTCCTCTCCTTCCAGCACATTCCTCCTGCTCACGCTGTGGCTCGTGCCGTGGCATCGCGACAGCATGGTGGCTGGTAGGCAGGGCGGGGAGGCAAGGGCAGATCCGCAGGCCCGAGAGCAGGGTTGGGAAGGCTCCAGGCCTGCAGCTGGCTCCCCTTTTTTTCCGACCAGCCCCGGCCAGAAGCTGTAAACTCAGGCTGCAAAGTGCCCCTGAGTTTCTGCACTTTGGGGCCAGCGTCTGGGGGGAGATCCTCCGTGTGTCCTCTTCCCTCTGCTCAGGCAAGCGAGACACGGTTCTGCAACTGAACGCACGCCTTCCAAAGAGCACTGAGCTCAAACCCCAGGCCGGCTGCACACGTGGTGTCCTCCCCGCCCCACATCCCACTGCAGGCCTGACGGTCAAGAGCTTGGGTCTCCGCAAGCGAAGGGCAGGAGGTCACCATGTCCCAAACCAGCTTGCTCAGCCACCCCCCAGCATCCCCCCCGGACATGCAGAAGGGGGACCATAGGAAGGAGCTGGGTCATCGATTCTCGGTGCCTCTCTTGGTGTCTGCACCTGGGGACCCTGGGGCCCCCGCGGCCTGAGTGTGGAAAGGCTCAGACAGGACCCGTGGCGCGCTGGCTTTGGCCAGCAATTCCGAGTCACTTAGCCCCAGGGAGGTGCTCGTTAATGGGGTTGAACGCACAGGGTTAGTGGGCCAGGGCGGCAGGGAAGGGCAGAGGGGGGCAGCCCCGGTGCCCTGCGGTCCGAGAGCCCACACCTGGAGACCCAGGGCCTGGGTAGGTGCACGGTGCACACGGAGGCCCGGGGCTCCCGTCTGCCAAACGCTGGATGTCCCGCCTAGCCACCTGCCTCAGGCCCTCTGCCCTCCACCCCTCCTGCCCGGCCAGAGGTGCCCCGGCCAGCCCGCCCTTCCGGCCTCCGGGCTCACTTGTTCTCCCAGCTTCTCTGGCTGTCGCCCCCCACAGCTATGAAGTGCTGGTGCCCACTCCCCCCACGCGGCCCCCTCCCGCGATCTGACGACCCCTTGGGCTGACAGCCAGCGGGTCTCTGTCCTGAGCCCGGCTGGGGACAGCTCCCCAACCTGTGCACAGGGAAGCAGCCATGTGTCATGGACGGATGGCCAAGAGTTTTGTTCCAAGCGCCCTCCCTGGGCCGCCAGCCTCGGCAGGGTGGCTCCGTAGCTCCGCCCATGCATAAGAGGCCCCAGCCTGTGAATCTGGGCGGCCTGGGGGACTTGGTGGGGTCAACTGTGGGGGGCCGGCCCGCTGGGCGGGAGAGCCCGCGTGGAGCAGGGCGGAGCTAACCGGACCGCCAACCACGCCCC